GTATGAAATGAAAACTCTAACTCCTAACCTCTAATATTTATCTTAACTAGGAATAATCAAGTAAGTCTCAAGAATATACTAGTCGTTATAAAAGTTAGTGATTGTGAATAACATATATATTCATATGTGCAAATTTATGTACAGGTGCTGTAATCTGTAAAGAATTTTGATAGATTCATTAGTTATGTTAAATCTCTCCACATCATTTCTTTTCCATAAACTGTATTCACTGAAGTTTCATAGTTGAAATCACGGACTGATCTTAACTAGATCACCAGTGAAAATCTAGAGGGATTAAACAGCCATCTCATCTTAATATGAAACTCCTTAGCAGTTCGCATCTACGACCCAGCACTCAGAAGTCAAACTTAGGGATTTTGGTCACACACTTGTACGCTTAACGTCTAAGACCACTGAACAAATATCCAAAAATGTATATATTTAAATTTAATCAATCGATTCATAGAAGCTGTTTTCTAACTGATTAAGAATGGATTGGAAATTTGCTGAGTTTGTTATTAACTCATTCCTACATTGTAATCTTACTCAAAAATTATCTGAAAATTATTTTTTTTTTAAAATAAGAATTTATCAATTTTCCAACTATATAATGATTCTTTTATTTTCAATTTAGATAATAATAATAGACAGATAATGTATTTTATTTTAATGTACAAAAAAAATTGAAAATTAAATAATTCATAAAACATAATCATAGTTTATCTAGGTAATATCAAGACTTTTTTTGTTTACTTCTCATTTCAAATTGAATGAATAAAATATATTCAAATTCATCTGTAAAAAAACTCAGATATTTAGGACATTTAGATTTGATGTGTTTTTTTTTGTTGTTTAAAGGATTTGTGAAAATGTTTACTTTTCATGTTAAATGACAGCCGAAAGGAAGCAAATGTTTCACTACCTTAGTAACAGAAAATTAACAATATATTTGTATCAAATATTTAACAAATGAAAAAGAAAGAATTACTAGTTGTAATGGTTGATAGAATAGTTGAAATTTAGAATTCTTTATGAAATAAAAATAAAAGTAAGAATTTGATCATAGTCTACAGAAAAAGCGGAAAAAAAACATGCAAACCGTTTAAAAAAATAAATGTTCAGTATAAGTGAAACTATTCATGATAGTTGATAGGTTGATTATATCCAAGATTTCTTACAGATTTTTTTGTTAACTATATTTAGTACATAAATCCGAAAATGTCTTATGATGCTTAATATTTGTTATCAAATAGAGGAACAAAAGAAAATTTCATGTGATTAATAACATTGTAAATGGAAACACAATCTTTTTTTATTCTCGTCACTGAATTAAGTGTTACTATCAGTTTTCTGAGTGCTTCGCATGGTATCATTCTGAGTTTTGTGTGAGGATAATTGAAAGTTCATGTTGTTTTTTTTTGTGGTGTAACTATATTTAAAAACAGGTGTACTTATAAGGAATTTAGTGTTACTAAAGTTTCCTTGACGCTGACATTTGATACAAGTCACCTCATTGGCCTGCAAACCTGTTAGGGATCCACATGGATTAGTAGTCTTAAACCAGGAAGAAGCATATATCCAGTGCTCTCCTGTTTCTAATGATTCTCTAGCTAATACACGTCTTTCAGGGAAACCTTACTTATAATTATCTAGTCTCCACTATCTAGAGAATTACCTAACAGAAACATGTATATATTTATATTAAGTTTCATAGAATTCCATTAGCTATTAGGTTCAGTATATAATACTGTTAGAGCAACATAGATTGCATCGAAGCACACTCGGTGCAGGATTGTGTTAGGGCACACTGATTGACTATTTCTTACCCAATCAGCGCTAGCGGATACTTGAAGATGACAATAGAATTTTATCATCTAAAAACTATTAATTATGTTTTTCTTATTGTGCTTCCTACTTCCATCTGCCTTGTTATTTGAATTGTAATTTCGTTCCTGTTCAACCGTATTCTGATTCGGGGACCTGTCGAGTGAAGTAGGGTCCAAGAATACTAAGCAAGAGAAATCATAAATACTGATTGTAATACTCTTATTTGTACATTTAAACCGTTTATAAACTTTACTTATACATTTGAACAAACAGTTTGAAAAATTTCGAATATTTGGGTTACAACCTTAAAAGAAATCATAATTATTTGCAACTAATAAGTAGTATTTTGCACCATTGTTCAAAAAACTTCTCATTTAGCATCCTTTTAAAAATCTGATTTTATGGACTAAGTAACAGCATATATCAAATTGTCAAATATTCTAATTGTTTGTTGTATACCGCTAATAAAAAGAAAAACTGACACACTTGTAAACATTGAAGGTTAGTGCATACATAATCAAAATTAAAAATTCTCTACTTATTTCCGGCTTTAACCCATTTAACCGATAAAATGTTAAAAATAATAATGAAGAAACTATTAACCAATGTTTCACATTATTCGTGATCATCAAAAATTATTTCACGTATATATATTCAATCAATAAACATGTTACTTAATAACTTTCATTTCAATTACAGAATTAAACCGAATAAAACTTCACCTAGATTTAAGGGGAAACTAAATTCGACTAAAATTTTGCAAATAATCTGTAGGTTTATACATACAAACAATGATCCTTCATTGTTTAAATTATAATTTAATATAGAAGTGATATTCTATACTTTTGTAATTTCTTTCCTGTTAGAGTTCGAAATATATCCAAATGTAAAACATTCGAACTAGTTAACACTTTTCAAAATATAAATAGATTCAACGTTTAAAAAAGAAACTTGTTCTGAATGAACTAAGATGAAAATAGATTATGATTGAAACACTTTAGTATGCATTTTTTATCATCTTAAAAATGAAATAGATCACGAATTTTAAAAGTGCTTTTTCATTCAAAATTAACTAATCAAGTGCTATGTAATAATAATGAACAAAAAAAACAAGAAAAAATTAGTGCTCAATAAACATTGATATTATCATAATGTTATAAAAAGGACAATTTACGATTGTATATATGAAACGGCATTTTTATTGAAAATTAAATGCAAAAGATAGACATTAATATTGTTGGATATCAACCTAATGGTCTAGATGTTAAGCTCAAGTATTCCAATATTCATGAACAACGATGACAATGTTTTAGCAGTGACAAATAATTGTATAATTCAAATCAGTTGTGCAACAATAGGCAGAAGAGTATAAAATTTATAACCTTATGGTCATTTAAATACATTTCCATTAATTTGTAGCTTTATAAAAGATCTTGAAATTATCAGGTATTGTTTTTAAGCACTATTTACTATGGTTTATGAAGCGAATACTTTTCTGATAGAAATAGAAAATGTAGAAATATAAATTTTGTAATTTGAGACATTGCGTCATAACTAAACGTACTCTTGTATTATGATCAATGTGGCGAGACCATAATCTATGGACGAACTAATCAGGTCTTGGATTTCGGCACATAATTCATTCATTCATCTGGCTAAATAGCGTTTTGGCATTTTAGTTTATGTTACTTCGTAATGAAAACCCTAAATCTAGTTCCTAACCCTAACCATTAACTGTAAATCCTTATTCTAATTCCTCACATTGCTTTATAATCCTCATTTCACCCTAGTTAATGTGCGAACATTCTCAAAGTCACATTAGTGTTACTTAAATGTAGTCCATAAATTATAGTCTCATCCTTGATATATTCCAATAAGTAGAAAATAAACTTTCTAACATCTTGTTACTTAGTGAATTTATTATACGAAGAAATGCTTTATATTGAGTCATGAAATATCAAAAATATAAATTTCTATTCACATCAATACTTCAAATATATCATGTTTTTATTAGTAAAACTATACCACTTTTAGGTCTATAAACTCTATTCAATTTCAAATAAGTTATAATTATGCATTTACATGTCGGATAACATGGATACTAACTTTTAACATAAAACTGAATATATCAGAAAATATTGTTTATAAAATCTAATCAAACATACTATGTGAAAATCTATCAGTTGCTTAACCAGATATCACATGGAGATTTGTGATTGTTGTTCGTCATATTTAACAAGTTCATATCACTTAATATTAAACAACTAAATCACAAGTCTTCCAAGTTTTTCTGGAATATAGAATTATATCTATTAATTAATAGTGTTGGTTATTATTATTATTACTATTATAACACTGGCTTACCATGATTTGTTTATTCAAAAGTGATGTTAAAATATTCTTATTTTAAAGTATTCAAATATATCCATATATTGGGAACCAACATAGTTGTATCGATGATTCTATACGATTCTATCTTAAACTTCAAGAGGTCATATACATTAAGTTAATGGAAAAGAAGCAATAATCCAAAGAGAAATAAATTAAATGATTTAAACTTAGCCTGAAATGTCTGTAAGTCGATCAACTTTCTCATAAATAGTATGTCTGTGTTGTATTATTGTTTTACGATATTTGAGGAATTTGGTTACAAATGAAATCGACTTATTTTATTTAATGAGTATTTTTTCCCTTAGTAAAAGAGGAATAGGTGAGTGGGTGTGATTAAAAAGAGAAAAGATAGGTAGATGTTAAGATAGGTAGATGTTTAGATAGGCAGACAGATAGAGTAGATCAAGGTTAGAGAAATATTGATTGACGTACAATTAAAGCAGATAGTAAGGATGAGCATGCCATACTCATATACGATTGGGTATTGAAAATTGATTGGTGTAATTTTAGAGGCTTGGATATAAGGTGGCTAACTGAATCGCTTTTATAATACTCATGCATATTATGCTAACGAGATGAAACGTGTGTCTACTACTCACCAAAACGTATAATTTTTGAGAAAAGAATCTTACTGATGTAATGTTGCCTACGCAAATAAAATACTATTGACTATCACTGTCCAATCTCAGCATAGTTAATCTCAAACTTATTTAATATAAAACCCAACTTTAAACTAGTTGTACTATTAATTAATTTCTTAAGTTACTGACTTTCACAACAAAATGTTAAGAGGATGTTTTTTGTTCTTAATAATATCTCATGGAATTTTTTCATATCCCAATCAAAAAAACAAATATGAAATTCGTATGCCAGGAGTAACAACAACAATGGTAATTTAAATATTGACATTTTGATTACATAAATATTTTATTTTTAGGATGATGAATATTGGTGTTATTCACAGAAAATTGAGAATGAAACACTTTACATAAGTGAGTATGATTTGTTCAGTATAATTCAGTTTTATAATTATCTATAATACTATTAGTGAATTATTAAATTTAGAGTTAGCATCGATAAATATTATGTTGAAATGTAAGAAAAATAGGTAACTGAAAATCGGGGCATCTATTACATCTCACTATCTTTTCTTAAATTGTTTTCAAAGAATTTTTTGGGTAAATGTATTGTAGTTTAATTATTGTTCACTTTGTTTGAAGGCTTCATCCATTCATCTTACATTCCTGATGTTTAATATAGAGGATGGTGATATAAATTATTGAGTAACGATGTTTTTAATCTCATCTTTCAGTGAAATCAGTCATATATTAATAAGAGTAGAAGGTTTTGTTATCTTACAAATTTGTTTTTTTTTGTTATAAAATATCAAATTCTACTGTTGTATCTTCTCACCGGTTACTAAGACCTGTCCGGTTTATGAGAATGTTGTACTGGCCATCAAATTTGTAATTGGACATCGATTGGTACAAAGTAATTAAGTTTATCAGAGAAGAAATAGGATTAACCCATCTCGGAATAGCGGATTTTCGCAGAAGACCACATTTAAAGACTGGGATTATCCACAACTGTCTATTATGAGCATGTTCAAGATAACTCAGTCTAAAATCCCGGATGAAAAACAAAGTTATGATAAAATTTAACAATAAACAAGCGCTAAATTGCTTCTTATTACCTCGATACAGAAAAAACAATCACGAGTACACTCTTCTCTACAATTTATTCGTTTCAAGTGTTTCGCAAATTTCTCATTAATTTTTCTCTGTTCTTTAAAAAAAACACGACTGTGAATTTTAACTTTATAGGATTTGATAGGATCAATCTAGGTGCTCTACTGAATGTGATTTAGGTTAAAAACCATTTTTACCAAACTTATTTCACTGATTATAGTTGTTTGATTATTTTGTTTGTTCAAATTAGTGGATTGTTGATCATTATTTGAACTGGAAGAAATATTGACATAGCTACTTGTGATGACCGCGCAAAATCAGTAATTAACTACTTGAAGAGAGTGAAAACAAAAATTTAAACCGAACAGCATGAATTTTTTTATATTTCGTCTGGTTCTCGTCAGCTGCTTATAAGCTATCATATTTTAAAAATAATAATTACAAAACTGGATGCAAATTGCTTGCATGAAGCAGTTTCCGTGGAGTTTGCTATGATCACACCAGTGTAGTATAGTAAGGGTATAAACAAATTTAACAGACTAAATAAAATTTGATAAATATATACTTTATATGGCAGAACATTCTACAAAATAGATAGTAACAAGTCCAGAGGGCTAGAAACAAGTGGTTGTGTAAGAAAGAAATGCTAATAACGAGTAAGAATAAAATCAGTAAGTTCAGTTGGTTGAAATAAGATTATCAATCTAGAGGGCAGTCGAAATAAAAAGAAGGTCTAATTCAAATCAATATTTGATTTGATCTACACCAAAGTTGAATATTCTATCTAGAGAACATCTATTAGCTTTAAGAATCATCATACAAAATGCTGAGGTAATGATCTTACGATCAGTTATAGGTTCAGGTATCGTCCTAATGAATACAGTTGATTGTATCACTCGGACGAAGTAAATCCTAGACAAATATAACAAAAATTTAACTAATTCCACAGAAAAACAAATCATGAGAATGCTTAGACAAATTCTTAGGAAGAAAATGATTTCTATTTTAGACCAATTAATCATGTTTGAAAGTGGAATTTAAAAACAATCTTACCAAGATTACAAACATAAATCGTACTTGCATCATTTAATAGTTAATTGAAGAAAATAAAAATTAATCTCAATTTTCCTCAGATTTTGTAATACACATCCATTTATCTCATATATTTTCTAAATTTTAAAATTAACCTTACTTGTATCAAACATTGCTAAACATTAAATTTACAATATCACAGTTAGGTAATATTGTTGTGTTTTCGTTTTATGGTAGTGAGAAAACCAGGTTATTTAATTCGTGTTCAATGTGTTTTTTCTTTCTTGTCATATTGTAACCATCAATCTACTTAGTTAATTAATTTAGTTGGGAAGTTGTAGAATTCAATAAGTTAACGTTATGTGATTTATCTGTTGAAATATATCAATAGTTGAAATCATGAGTCAATTTAAGCTAGACCACCATGAAAAACCTAGAAGCACTGGATGGCCGTTTCGTTCTAGTATGGGACTTTTCATTAGTGCGCATCCGAAATATCGCTCCCCCTGAGATTCGAACCCAGGACCTATCAGTCTCGCGCGCGAGCGCTTAACCATTAGACCACTAAACCGGCATCGAACGGTGTTCATGTCTAACTTCAACTAATCCACGAAATATATGATAACTTTAACATTTCGATAGTAGGTTTATAAAGTATAACTTTATAGGTTTTGTTTAAGATCAATCTGGGTATTCTACTAATTGTAGTTTTAGTTAAAAATCATCTGTTAATGAAACTTAGTACTCGGATAATAGTTGTTTAATCATTTCATGTGTTTGTTCAATTTAGTGAATTGTTGATCATTGCTTGTGCTAGAAACAAGATATTGATAATGTTACTTTTTATGACTGAGTTAATTCAGTTATTTTACGCTGATAACATTGTTATGATTAAATGATAAAAGTAGGCAGGACAGCTGAAATTAATGGATACATCAATCAATATATTTGAATTGTATTTTGTTATTTATCATTTACTTATCTGCTTAGTTGTCATATTTGAACACAATAAACTCGACAGTATCATGGATAAAATAACAAACTTTATATATATATATATATATATATATATATATATATATATATATATATATCATCAATAGATTAAACTGTTTCATATATAGATATAAATAAATCACAGGATTATCCATTTTCCTCTTTCTATAAATTAGTTTGGATTCAGTTAGTTGAGATTTTCAATCCCATACATTTAGTTGTAATTATTTATTCCCTATTGTATAGTTGGGATTTTTCTGTTCCTATAAAATCCTCATATTCTTGTGTTTTGTGTTCAACTTATAAATGACAATACTGTTAATTATCAGATGGGGGTTTTGTGTAGATTTTATCAATTTAATAGTTGAATTCACCATGAAAAAACCTGGATGCACACCGCTGAGGAATCCTTTACTAGGACGAAATGGCCGTCCAGTGCTTCCAGGTTTTCCATGGTGGTCTACCTTTAGTTGAATCATGAACTCAACTATTAATATACCATTATTGTTTTATTCAAAAATGCACAATTTACACTTAACCGAAATGCAGTTTACCAGTCAAAATGTTTAATTTATTTCATATTAATCAGAAATTTAAACCCATAAAACAAAGAACAATGGTTCAAAAAGCTACATATTTAATTCTTTAAATATAGATAAGAAATAGAATCGTTTTATATCTGCATCCAACCAGTTATATTTTCCAAATAAGTTATTTTATAAGTAATTTGGTTCTGATTCGCCAGTATTACTCTTCAGCTGTACAACAGTTTACGTAGATTTAATTGAATAAAATGGGAAAATGCTACACAATATGTTTTGTAACTCTAAGAATATGTCAGTAAATGTTTTACTTGTAAAACTGCTTTACTACTAAACAAATGCATTTTTGAAGTATGACAAATGGCAATGAACTTTAGTTCAGTGTGGATGCCCCATGGCTACCTAACACTGAAAGCCTTAACAGCACTGCGATTTTGTCACTGTCATTTCATTACTTTTGTAAACCTTCCCAAAATGTCACTTTGCAATAAAAGCATTGTATTGAAATTCATATATGTGTATTTATCAGTAGTACATTTGGTATACGTTTATTACTCGTCTGAACATAATGACATTCTATTGGATAAATGTTCTACCCCATATGTAATTAACTTTTCTCTGATACATTTTAACTAAACTAGGATTCTTTTTGACAGGTAGTTATAAACAAGGCTTTTTATTTATGCAAACATTTTACTTGAGTATTTGCTTATAACAATACTTCCATGATTCAGTAATGTCTGTCGTAATTAACGAACACCAGTTAGAAAACTGCTGAAAGGTAGCAAATACAGAGTGGCTGTGATGTCATCACTTTAGAAATCCCTCATGTGAGAGTAAATTTATTTGCTATATGCCTCGTGACATCCACGATACCACCGAATGAGGGTCTGAATCTGATGGTGAACATCATTGAAATCTACAAAATAAGATGAAATAAGTCTGTGATACAAACTGGTTGTCGGCACTTCTATAACTGATATCATTTCTTGATGACATATTTCTTACACTCTCTTCTCCATACATGTGTTTCTGCAGAATAATGATTCAGTCGTTTTTCATAAAGTTTACGACACTTAAAGCTTTATTCTCCTGAATAATTACTCTATCTGTAATTATTTTTTTAATATACTCCAGCTGGATTCCAGCCTGTTTACGATCCTACCCTTGTTCATCATCTTATTTTGTTCGGATGTGAGGAGCCAGGAAGTACAGAAGGTTTATGGTAAGTAAATTTAATATTTATCGTTACTATTCATTATAACAATGTGCTTTGGAATACAAAACATCGAATTTTTCCAATCTTTTTAAAAAATGAGGTTTCATTTTTTACAAATTACGGTAACTGTTAAGTGGTGAAAATGAAAGTTTTTACTTAATTACAGACACTTTAAATAAGAATGGATGCATTTTCATCTAAAGGAATAGTATAAAGGATGAGTCAATCACAATCGAGTAGACGACTTTCGAATTACCGCTCAAAATCCAAAATTGAATGACTTTCATCACACAAGGTTCGTGAAAAAATACTTTTTCTCGGTGTTGAATTTTTGGCAAAAATCGATTTTATCAACATTAGATAAAACTGACGATATTAAATGTGCCAAGTGCTCATTTTTATGTATACAGATTTTGCGTAACATGAAAATCAATTGGTTTTTAGATTGATATTATGAATGAGTCGATGTTAGATCACCATTGAAAATCTGGGAGAATTGGATGGCTGTTTCGTCCTATTATGGTTTTTGTTTTAATTTGCTTTATAATAGACTCAAAAATTCACAAGGTTATTTTTAGAGTAAGTATATTCACACGGTGAGATTATTTCTATAATGTTAAGATCAGAGTACCGATAGAAAACCTTGAAAAACCAAAACACTTGTTAAAAGCTCTGAATGTTGACGGACTTCATTATTTCTGTTACGAAATACCTATGATTTATTTATACTCTTTTCTACTTACTGGCTTCAAGATCATATAGTCACGTTAAAAATCATTCAAGATCGTCCCCATGCTTTACTTTGATCCATTTTCGCAATGGTAAGCAAAAATGATTTTCCAGAAATCGGGGAAAATTTATCAGATTCTTTTCGTAATCACATAATTCATAATTCAGTGAAAAAAATGTCGGTTCAATGCTTACAGACACATGACATCCTTTACATATGTAAATATTCAACGATTGAAATAATAATTCATCATATTCCATTTTATAATCAATAATACTTTTTCATGTTGTTCAAGATATGTTTAGATATTTAAACAGTTTGTGATTCTTTCAAGATTCAAATCCGCGAGCGGGATCGTAGATACGCACTGATGAGGAGTCCGATACTAGGATGAAATGGTCGTCCAGTACTTCCAGGTTTTCTATGGTGGTGTAGCTTTAATCGACTCATGAATTTAACTATTAAATGTTCTCTGTCATAAAACAAATGAGTCAAGAGTACCAGAACTGATCATTTTTAATCATCTACCATTTTTCTTAATAAAGCATCTAAGGTCAAGAACGATGATTTATTACTGTCACTGCAGTTATTTTCTCGTATTTCTGAAATCATTCTTCTACATTATTCTCTTAATAAAAACAAAACCACTTGAGAAATATGTCACCAATTACGTATACAACTTACATAATTGTTGTTTTTTAAATGAGTTAAAAAAGGAGTTGTTTTGAATCAATCGCTTTTCAACGACAACTAATAGCTTATTCTTAAAATGAACAGAGATAACCCTACACGTATTTTCAATTAATTGAACTTTCGTTTTTTTATCAAGCATTAGATTATTAAAACTTTGGTCTGCTTTTGTTGAACAAAATTTATTATAGTTTTTCTCTTGCAAAAGAGGTGTCTATACGGATTTAAATAGATGTATAATGTTTTCTCATTTTACAGTAGATAAATTTCTTACATTAAGTGTCCTGTTTTGTTTTAAATAGTGCAAAAAATAGATTATACATTTGTTTAATGTCTAAATTATATGCGAACATATTTCAAAGCAATGAATAGTTGATAATGTATAATAAGTTGATATTGAAGGTAGAGTTATAAGATGATGGTTGGAGGTAGTCAACAGGAGGCTCTGAACCTAGGTTTCGTGCTACTTGGCAATTGTCAGCAAGATGTACCTGTAATCTTGAGGGAACTGATGGTCCCTGACGGACTTGATCCCGTGTCACCCAGCTTCACAGTCAAAGACATTACCGCTGGCCACATTGCAACTTGGTTGATAGGATTCGATCTGCATTAAGAAGGACCTGACATACATGACATTAATCACCACCCAGTGACCAATCAATTGTAAACGTCGAGTTATCTCTACCACAATTTTGATATACACTTTTAAAATTATGCAAGTATATGTAAACAAACTGTATATTGAATTATCCATTTTATTATCATTTAATTAATGAAAACTTTTCAATGAAGAAAAACAAATTTTTTTTCCATTGGAATCATTTTCTGGAGCTGTACAGTCGTTTTTCTTAATGTAGTTGTCTATAATAAAATAGACAAATATTACACCATTAAATAGAATGATGAAAAATAATCAAGCGCATTGTAATATCCAATATAAAAGTCTTTTACAAATGAATTGGTATTACACCATTTAATGAAGTAAACAAAGATTATCAAAAGAATCCAAGTGTTAACTACAATAGTTCACAAATAGGTGATTGTTCCAAAACAAATATAATTATTAGATAGTCTTCAAGTATTGTATAAAATGGATCTTGTGTCATTTAGCAAATTGATCAAAAATTATCAAGGAATTAGGTTATGTAATAGTTTCGAAGGTGATAATAATTTGTAATAATTTATGAAAACATTTCAAAAGATAACTTTCCACTTTGCAAATGAAATGATGAAGTATAAGATAGTATTCGGCACTTAAAATTTGTAAGATTAGGAAGAGTGCTAGGACCATGGAACAATAAACGATAGAACATGACTGTTTTGAAAACAGATGTCATCACTGTAGAATGAAATGTCATATCTACTTTATGCCAAGTTTATCTCAAAATTCAAGAATTATGACCATAGTAATTAAATAACTTTGATTATATCTTCATCATTCATTTCTACAGCAATGGAACAAAAATATGCCTTATTTTCTAAAGTTGTCGACAGTATGGATACCTTTAAACATTTTTATCAATTGTATTCAATATTTATAAAACTTATATTTAAAGCCCTCTTCTAACAACCGATTATCACTGAATTAATAGAAATGTATGATATGAAATTATTTATTGAGAATAGATAACATACTTGGATCATTTTTCTGATTTGTAAGTCTTAATTTAATTTACCATTGGATATCTAAAAGGAATTGAATACACAGGGGGTTGGTCGCAACCCGGATAGCTCATTGGTAATATCTATGACTAAGGACTTAGGTGACACAAGATCGAATCCTCCGGGAAGCATCAATCCCCTCAAGATTATGGGGTAATCTTACTGACGAGTACCAAATAGCACGAAACCTGGGTCCAGGGTTTCCTGTCAACTACCTCCAACCACTACTTTGCAATACAACACAATAGTTTGCTATGTATGAAAAGTCGTCATTCTAAGTATAAGGCTTGGATGAATTATAGATGTCTAGTCATTGAGCACGTGTTGTAGAATTGGTAATTAAAGAGTTAAGATATTTTATGAAAGATATAAATCAGGGTGTACAACAGTTGTTTTATACTTATTTTTTTAACGTATCTTCGAGTTCTCTCAGTTAGATAGTTTAATCTCGGCGATTTTATCGTTGCTTGGGACAAAACCATCTGCGCCTATTTCATGTATAAGTGAGCTTAATTATTCCATAATCGTTGGTAGTTGATATATAGCGTTCATTAGGTATCTCTACATTTTTCATAACTCTCTACCTACTAATTCTGCCGTCCATGACCAATTACTGAATATTTATCACTTATCTATATTTTATACTTTGAGTGACATTCATACATAGCAAACTAGTAAAGTGTATTCACTGGTAAAGTTGTCATACTATACAGTAAAATTTATTTAGTCCCCTCATTTGCTTCTTTTACCATTCATTCCCAAAACTTATTGGAAACTAGCGAAATGATCGAAAAATAAGGAATGGTGGACACTGAATTACTTACTGTACCAGTTTGCCACATATTGTGATCCAATTTTTATTTATGTGATGCCTAATTTCGGAGTTTACAATGGGCATCTATTATTAGTAATACAATTCATAACTTGCTTAATGTGACATTTTTGACATGTTCTTGCTCCTAATTGAACATTATCAGTCACAGAGTTTCTAAGATGGTGAACAACTGACATTCGAAATATAAAAAAGCGGAAGTTTTATTTATAAAATCTTCACTAGAATATAAATTTTAAAATCAGTAAACTTGTGCCAACTAACTACTTAAGAGCTATAATTTGTTTTGACAAAGAAATTTTTAACTTATTGTAGGAAATGTGGTGAGATGTCGAATAGCGAAACATCTGTATGTCATGCATCTGAGTCTATTTTGTACTCTTGGGCGATGGGAGCTCCGTCCTTTGAAATGCCTTACGGTATGTTGTTCACATTTAAATTAAACGTTTCACATTGTAAGACATATATTATAGATATTTATATCAATTCGATATATTTTCACTATTTTTAAAGTGTAAAACGTATTTTAGAGATCTCTAAATTGTTTTTGGAATACTAAGTCAATAACCAATCAACGATGGACATAATATTCCCTCTCATTCAAGAACTATTTTCCCACAGTTAGTTCATAGTGTATGACATTAGTAACGTTAAAGAAACTTGTACATCCTATGATTTATGGATTTACAAATTGTACCACGCCTGTAGTCAGAAATATTCGCAGTATAACTGAGGAAACATAACTACTCTGATCAGTAATTTTTAAAAGCATCTCATTGTTTGTATCTGTGATAACAATATTCGTCTTTACATGTTCTTGAATACAATTCCTTCTCATAATCATACGTATAAAAATTTCTATTTAATTTTGTCAAAAAGGATCCGTATTTCTGTAATCAAATGAAGCTATATATTGTGATGGTATTAATTGAGATTTATATTCTAGTCTGTCTTTGAAAATGATAACCAAGAGGGAAACTATTGAACCATTCAATTGCTGAAATGGTTGAAATATTGTATATTAAAAAAAACTTGTCCAGATTGTAAAATTAAAATGCAAATCTGACAAAATAATTTTTTCTACAGTTTTGAACTGTTAAATTCAGTTACACAGTCAAATTGTTAAGTTGTATAACAAGAAAAAGAATACAATCAATTCCGCATAAAAGTAGGCTATACAATTTATAAGTTCTAGTTGCTTAACATTGATCTATTAAGAAAATTTAAAATATAGTGAGACCTAGGAAACTAGAATAATCGAAGGAAAAAGATAAACTGCAATAAAGTAAATAGATGACGATAAATGTTTAAGCGGAAGATTAATAGTACATCTATTTACATTATTATTATTATTATTATTATTATTATTATTATTATTATTATTATTATTATTATCATAGCTTACTTTCAATCATACTATCATTATATGTTATTAACTAGCCAGAAAGGTAATACCTCTGTTCACAGCTCAGACTAACATAAATATAATAATTATGGGTATGTAAGCCTTTATTATCTAGCCGACTTTGCATGGTTTGCGACCTAATGCTATTTCATGCAATTTTGAACTTTCGGTAAACAGAGGATAATTGTGCATATCATCTCATCAACATGCAGTTTTGTAGTGCCATTTACTAACTTGTCTTCATTATGTTGTAATTAAAATTGAACTTTGATAGATCCAACTTTATGTTTCAATATTGACCAATCAAAGATCAAAATATATAAACAAATATTATGGAATATTTTATGAATGATTATATTTTAAGTCCATAAGATATAGAAATTGAAGTGCTGAAAAGAATTTTCACACGAATATATCACTTGAAAAAATGAGGCGGAAGCGGCGTTCTGATTCGTTTGATGAAGATGACTTTAGATCAAAAAGAGACAGGACAGAACCAGATACGATCGAATCTCTCATATATCGAATAGGGTTTAAAGACCTTTCTAATATTGAAAGGGATATTGGAGAACGCGCGTCAGTTATCCTAGCAGATATCCCAAAGAATGGAGAGGGCCTTTTGAAAGTTCTGAGCAATTGTGTAAAGAATGTTCCAGAACGAATACTAATTTACGCAACGTTAGTTGGGTTGCTGAATCTGAAGAATCGGTCGTTTGTCGGCCAATTGATAGAACTTCTACAACGAGACCTGAAGGATGCCATTAGATCGGCGAGTTTTGAGGACGCTTAATATATAGTTTTGTTCTTGTCAGTATCTGTTAACTGTCATACTGTTCAGAAAGCATCCATTCTCGGTCTGTATGAGAATTTTGCTGAAGTCACCCTTGATGCAGGACGAAGTTCTCAGGCTCGAACTGATTGGTACACATACGTAATTCTTTACGGCCTACCATACAGTGGTTACTTGCTAGCATCTTATGACGCTTCAGCACTAAACGATATATTAGGTACAATCGAAGTTTACATGACTAAACGTCAGTGCCCCCATGTCTCATTATTACGCGTTTGGGAGTCAAATGATCCTCACCCACAAGAAGATTATCTGGATTGTTTGTGGGCTCAAATTATTTGCAGCCAATACTGGAAAATACAAATCATACTTTCTATATCGTAAGAAGGAATTGTAGATTTCTCAAATAATCAAATAATAAATAAAGATTCACCATACGAAACTATGGTTTTCGAAGTTATATTTGATTAGTTTTCTTGTGTATCTTTAACTAAGATTTAACTTAAAATTCTACTGAAGAATAGCTACTAAAAATTTATTGTTTTTAAAAATATGAACAAACTATTGTAACTCAATAAACTTCATCTGAATTATTAGATGTATTTAATCAAATTATTTGGTGGAGTTTTGTTCTCTGAGCTGGATGGTTTATTCGTGGTGCTTTTATCGTTATTCTGGGCGACATCATCAGCACAAACTCTAGTTCTACCTGATGTCTCCCAGAATAACGGTGAAAGCTCCACGACCAAACTATCCAGCTCAGAGAACAAAACTCCATCAAAATCATCCACCTGAGCTAAGAACCTCCACCAATCTTATGATTGGAGTGTAAAACTTTATATGGAAGACTTTGTTTTATATAACCCACCAGTGACTTTAACATCATCGCTCAGGTCAAATATTTGACAATCAATGTTTAAAATATTCACCGTGTATTTGTTTTCAAAAGATGTAAGAATCTTTGTTTTTGAAAACGTCTGTTTGTATAAACGTAAAAACGTAGAAATGAAGTCATAGTAACAAATATACATCGGAGCTTACCGGTAACACTAATTTGTTTATGACGGTGATATTATTAAGAAATGCAATCAGCTGCAAAGCTGTACAGCATTAGCCTATATCATTATTGTTAAATAATTTATCACTTCCAATATTGATAATTTTGTAGATCAAGTTTATAAATATGTGATGTGTGGGCAAGAATGATAATGATTGGTTGTTTGCCTAGTCATACAGGCACTATATGAATTATATATATTCTCTTACCCTTGTTATTATTGGACCGTTGTCGGTTTCTGGTGTGGAAATATACCTACGCTCTAGTCAGGCTAGTCACGTGTTTTTGATCTGAGTTGTGTTGATGTTCTGTAGAATAGACAATGGGAGAGTATCTAGTGCAAATAATCGTCTACGCCAAATTAACGTCCCACACATCAAGACGGAAAATCCGATCGTTATAACAATATGTTGTAATCTACTTAAAGTAAAATCAAACGAAGAGAGTTCCATGACTGTCAAATGATATTATGACTTCAGTAACGAAAACTGGTTTTTGACCAGTCTTGATGCTATTTATTTTAATTATAAGGCTTGTTTTAATGAAACGTAAAAAACATAAAAATCTAACAAAGACAAGATTTACAGTTAAGCACGAATATTGTCTGGAAGATAAGTACAAATGATTCAAAATTTCATATCACAGGCCTACCTAAATATTAAGTAAACAATACAATAATAATTCATTAAATTCACTCGAATTACATAATACCATATGCGCTTGAAAATTTTAGCATCAAGTAATTAGTTTCCAGGTTCTACTTTCAGGAATAAATAAATAAATATTTCAGTGTTATTTCTTTAAATTTCCGCCTATAGTAAACGTTATCACTTATTTGTTTGTTTCATCTTGCCTAGATGTGTCGTTTAAAGTTGGTTATGAAACTCCATATAAATATTTAGTACTACAAGTTCATTACAAAGATGCTATGAATTTAGACGAGAAGGATACAAGTGGATTAGAACTAACTACCCAGTCTACGCCGTATGTTTATAATTATACATACATTTTTAACAAATCATTTATATAAATTCGAATGCTAATTTATGATTAAATTTTATTACAAGTAGATTTAACTCAGGAGTACAATATCACAACCATACACACAAAACGTAGCTAAGAGCATTTGGGTGTCCTTCGAATAGGTTTAAATACAGTATGGAGCGAAAATCAATTTAATGAATATTCATAAATCTGTCGTCGCTGAACGATTAATTGCTTATGAGATTGACGTTCAGATACCAAATGAAAGAATTCTAGAAGGCAAAACCACGGGTCATTTAACAGAATATTCAATAGGGATTGAGGCTTATGTAAAAAATATTCAAGTATGACCGATACGATAACATATGATGAATAAAGGATAAGAAATATAGATCACTAAACAACAAACTAATCTTCGCTTTTGTCTATTATATTAAACTTTGAATCAATGTATACTGTGTCCCTATTAATTAGGTCAGTTATTCACTGTCAGAAGTCAAAATATTACTGATAAACGCGGTCTAAATTCGTTTAAGCAAATGAATTTTTCAGCTTTATAAGAAATAATGAACACTTGAAAAAGTCTGTGAAGCATATATGGTAGTTTAAGGCATTTAGTCCCTTTTATCAATTTCGATAGAGCAATGAGAAGGTGGAGTTGATCTGAAAAATGTAATGTATTTCCGCTATATATTTCGAAATCTGGTCGCACATACTGGTCAGGGCATTTTATATGAAGATTAATAAAGGTCAATTAAATGAAAGTTCAAGTAAACAAATTAATAAAGGGGAGAGAAAATTAACATAGAATAGAAAGAATCTGAAATTGTCGCATTATCCTAGGCCATAAATATACTTAGGCATTACCAGGGTAAGTTCAAGGTTATGATAAATTGTTTTTGTACACATAAGGGGGGTTCACATTTACGAATACCCAAGGCTTCCATTACCTGGGAATTCATCCTTGACAATTTCTATACAACATTTTAAAAGCTGTATTGATGTCGATTCTGTGCCCCGTTTCAATTATCTGTTTTGCTATCGATAAACATGGTGTTTTAATTTCCACGTTGATCGCAACATTTGACATGAATTGGTTGCTCTACCGATAGTAAGTTCTAAAAGTACAGACACTGCTCTGTGTATTTTTCTTTAGTCGTCAATAACCGAAAAATTTCTGATGAAACCTACCTATATCCACTAAATGTTTTTAAATTTCTTCCTAAATGTCATGTAACAATTTATTTTTCCAACGTTATTTTAGGGACAAAATAAATTTTTTATTGATTACAATAACTATTATTATTTGATATATTTTTGGTGCGCTATAATCTACTTTATGTAGGATTCTGTTAATTCTCCAGTGTTATAAATCTCCCGGTAATTTTAATTGCTGTACGAATTAAAACGCCTAATGATCCAGTGAGAAATAGCGAATAGTAATATTGCCCCATCAAAGTTAATAGCGATGCCAATAAAGCAAACTAAGCCATTATTTATGTCTATAAGTTAAATATTTCACACAATACGCTAAACGTCTGATGCTTTGAAAAATTAAATTGGAAAATAAATCGAAACATGATCTTGAATAGGGTTTTATGTTGTCAAAAACAGGATGGAAGTTTACTTAGCTACCTTTAAAGTTTAGTTTATTATGACTAAATCGAATCTTTGAAACTCTATAGGAAGGAAATTATTCTTCGTATGACAATTTTACACAGTCTTTTCTTCGTCAGCAAAGATCATATACAGTGCAGCAAGTGTTAATAGACAATATATTCTCTAAAAATTCCATGTTTGTTCCTGACTATACACTAGATAAAATGTTCGTTGGATTCATTCAGACCGACTTGTAATATGACAGTTATTTCAAGTAATTCAGTATTCTTAAATTTATACTTGATCGAAATCCCCTGTGATAACTTAACTTATCACTCTAGAACTCAGGCTTATGCGAAAAAGTAGAATCAAATTACCGTAGATAAAAGATAAGAATTACAAGTGTGTATCCTTTCCTAATAATGATTTTTATAGGTAATTGCCACAGAAGTAGATACTTTTTAGTTAGGTTATTGAAGATATTTTTGCTGAATCAACTTCACTTATATATTATTCTTAAATCTTATTGACCGGCAATAGGTATTATACCAAATTAGACTACTTAGTTTTGTTTGACTTTTATGACGTTATTTCGCTTTTCAAACTGAGATTTTCCTGGTATTCAGCAGTTCTAGTTCTGTTACAAAGATGCAATTTTTCTACACAATTATTTTTGAACAAGCAAAGATGGATGGCGGCTAACAGTAGAATCCAGGACGCGTGTTTAGTCCTATTTGGGACTCAGCTGGATGTACCTGCATCCCGAAGGTGATGCTCGCTACGGGACCCGAACCCAGTACCGTTGGCTTCAAACGCTATCGCATTGTCCACTCAGCTACTAAGTCCTGATAGCCACTAGCTTTTGCAATGAGGTGAAGTTTAGATTCATTTTATATTGTTTTTTGTATCTTCTCATTGGTGTTTAGTACGGTACTGGGTTCGAGTCCCGGAGTGAACGAGATGCAAGTACATCCAGCTGAGTCCCAAATAGGAAGAAACGGGCATCCTGGATTCCATTGCTAGCCACCATCCATCTTTGCCTATAATGCTTGTGACTTAGAGCAATATCGAGGCAATCCTCACAGGATGCTCGTATGTCAACAAGCGATTGATCAATTTCAGTCCTAAACATCGATGGGAAGATACAAACAAATCATACAAAATGAATCAATCTTTGAATATGTTGTAATGTAATGTAATTGTAAATATATATTAAAGGTGATAACTTATTAACAGATTGGGTATAATACCCTGTTACACAAAACACACTGAGTATCACAATAAGTGATATACCGTTTTCAAGTAGAAACTTATAAATGAAGATGAAATAAATTTTGAATTTCTGGCGAAGTCATTCTTACAGCCACCATACTATTCATCATAAAATATATTAATGCTTTTGTTATGAGCAAGATTCCATCATTGTAAAACAATCCGTTTTATGTCGCTAAACTGGAAGTTCTGTTTACACTAAGTAACAATATTTTAGTATTTATTTAGGCCAATTTGTAGGTTTCTGTCGCAATGAACATAATGGATTAAATATGCAAAACATTTACCAGTCTAGTTGTACAAACTAACATTGACGGTTCTCAGAATAGGTTTTGTTACGGAGAGTCTGACACAATATTTAATACTTTGCATTGTGATTTACATATCCTTATTTTACTAATAATTTATGATGATGCTTTAAAATTTGTAAATGAAACATAACAGTCTGTAGATTATGATTTATATCAAAATTTTAATCATTATTTGAAGCCTTGATGGATATAAGTCTGAGTAATTTATGAATTACGGGAACTGGTCACATTTTTTGTCTTGACCTAACTATATTTCATTACCAGTCTAGTTAATAATAATATGGGGAATTAGTTAGAGAAATAGCTAGACGATTCATATAAAGTGTGGAGTAATAAAATTTATTTGCGAAAATCATTCACCAACTGCCTAGATCCACAGTCTTTATTGCCATGATTTTAGAATGTAATACACTACAACCACTTATCCCACTGACCCATTAAGAATAAGTTATTACTCATATTATACATCCGATAAAATGATTAATACGACTTTAGAGGAGATTTTACGCATTATAAGTTTGTTTAACTTGCTTGAAAGTGACAGTGAAAATAATAACAAACACTTCCAATATATATCCTACAAGAATGTTGATTGGTCAGGGAATTTTTGTACGTACTATTTCATAGTAGGTATGGTATTTAACTAGTATTTTTCCTGATGAACAATTTTAGAACTAGTAAATTGGCTGGAATATATATATTAGCTAGCGGTGAAGATATCGGACCCAGTCAAATAGGTGAGTATCACGTTTAGTAAAATATGTATGTTTCGAAAGTGTTAATTATCATTTATATCCTCATTCTCTTTACTAAACCTTGCTATTGGAGTTTCAAGGCATAAAATCTACACCAAGTTAGGTACTTTTACCTTATTTTGTACAAGCTGACAGTAATTTTGACCACCAAACTGACTTAAGCTGAATAATTATTTCGGTTTTATTTGAGACCGAAACCAACACCATTTTTTCCTTGGCGTTGGAAAATTATAGCTTCAAATTAATAATCATAATTACTGCCGAATAAATTTTTTATAACTGCCTTTATGCATTCAGGATTAGTGGTAAATAATGAAATGACTAGCATGTAATTTATACTTGAGTCAACTTTAAGGACAAATGAAGTTGTGAGATTAATAATGGAAATAAATACATATAATGTAGGATGAGAGACTGAATAACAATCAAATCAGATATTCGATAGAGGGTTATGCGATGCTTTAAAGAGACAATAAATATAAGAGTTCATTTTAATTAACTTCTTAAATAAAATAATTAGTCGAGTCAAATGAATTTGGATTCAGTAGGGGAACTAAATTACATACATAAACCATAGTAGGCCATTTTATAATAGAAAATACTATTGGGTTTATAGGTCATACAAAGTAGAAACAGAGGCTACACATACATTTTTCGGATTCAAAAGTTTGGGTTCTTAATTTGTATTACAATCATTTCTGCCTTTTTAAATTATTCAGATCCTGGCTACTGTTGGTAAATTACTCTTTATGTGGTAGATTATTGAAAACGACCAATTATTGATGGCTACATGGTTCATATAAAATAAATGAGCTGTATAAAACCGTTGACAGCCTTAACTACGTCTTTGATTAGTCACTCTTTGAATATCTCCCTATGTAACTTTCTCCACAGCAGTAAATATATTCAAAAATACAAAAAATATGGCTTATGTAAGCAATTTGTCCTTCAATCTCGATATTACCATTGAACGCTTAGAATTCACTAGTAGTAGTTTTCTTTTGTTGAACAATTCTTGAATTGCTCTAGATTATTCCGAAAATAATACTTCTTTGAATACGTCATATATGAGTGGTAAGTACATAAACTGATTTTTCATTATTGACTGAAGATTCCGTAGTTTTGACTTTATGACCGTCTGCTTAAAAACTTCCCAGGAAATTGACTTCACAGATTATTCCACAAACCACTCATTTCCATCTCAACTGCATCCAAAAAGCATATGACTATTATTCCATAATGAAGATTTTATTTTATATTGTAGAGAAACTAAACTTCTATATTCCAAATCAGATTGTCTAACAAAACATTAAAATCACTTAAATATCAAATATAATTTTAATATTTAATGTTTTCTGTCAAACTATTCATTCACATTTGAAAATATTTGTAATCATTTAAAACTTCAGTTCATTGAATAGCTGTTTCACCTTAATTTGGTATTCCCTAGCACTACTTATTGTCATCTTTAACACAAGACTCTTATTTACTTTACAAATATATGAAGAAGACTGAAATACTGAGTTACAGATTTTAATTTCGCACCTTCGTGGGAGCAAAAAGTGAATATCATTACTTTTAAAGAATGTCTCCTAAAACTTCATTTTCCGTTGATAATTGTTACTTTATGATTTACACATTCAAATAAATTTGTTTTGGATTAAGATCATGAACCGATTGATGTTAGATCACCATTGAAAACTTGAAAACACTAAACGGCCGTCTTGTTCTATTGTTGGACTCTTTAGCAGTGCGCATCCACGATCCCGCTCGCGGGATTCGAACCCAGGGCCTTCAGTCCAGTAGGTTAAGCGTTCGCGCTCGAGTATGGTGGTCTAACATCAATCGGTTTATGATCTTAGTCAAAAACTTAACAATCTCCACAACCCCTAAACTCATAAATTTGTTTTTGTTGTTTCAGCTCGTCTGGATGTGGCATGTTCATACACAGGCAATGCTACATTACATCCATTCGCCTTCCGTGTTCACTCTCATAGTCACGGTAAGTTTAATATATACAACAATCTTATCATTATTTCGTCAAAAATCTTTTTATACATATTCAAATAAATAGTAGATAAAAAATTACCATGATCTCAATCCTGTTGAAATCAACCAATGTAGAATCTAAGCTTAGGTTCTTGTTAGGTAAAACTATGATACCTTTCTTACCTGTAAAATACTAAGAATGACCTTGGGATTTCGAGTTACTTATTTGCTGAAAACACAGAGATATAGTCTTTAATGACAAGAATTGGGGTACATTCATGTAAATAGATATCTTGATCTGTGCTCTCATCAATACACTGCAAAAGCCCGCACTGTTCAGTGGATTACTAGTAACATATTTTGGTTAACTGTTGGCTAATGAAGAAGAAACCAGTCTACAAAGATTTGCTTTTTGAATACAATTTGACTTAGATAGAATAGCAGTTCCATGTTCGCTTTCGGTGTTCAGTCCATATCATTTGTATTTCATAATATCAAAACAGACGTTTTCTTATCAACTCTAACCAACTAATTAAGCTCTCTATTCAGGGGATTACAGTTGTTAATATTACAGAGATCGCTATTCAACGAAATCAAATAATGAGATTAGGTAGAGCAATTATACAAATATGGAATGCAGACACGTAATTCCTTTGTTCTAATCAATTCGGTACATACGTTTATGTACGATCGAGTTTAGTTAATATTTTACTTCTTATAAGCTTTTACCATATGCTGATGCACGTAAATTTTTGTTTAAATTCATTCAAAGTACATTAGGATCATATCAATTATTATCTTCTGAGTCTTCGTGATAACTACACAAACGAATCAGAATATTCCAAATAAATTTTAGATAGACCTGCGTCATTAGTTCACATAGAATAAAACTAACTACTGAGAGCAAAGAAATCCTACTATATAAACTACTACTCTTGACTATTAACTTTTATTGCAATGAATTAAATAAATTATAATTCAGAAATTTTTTAACTTCCTAAGTAGTTGCGTCTGTTAACATAGCTGCCTTGCATGCTAAATAAATTAGAAAGACGAATTATGTTTTTTTCTGCTTTGCTTGAATTTCCCCAACGTTTTTACAATTTATGTATGATCTACTAAACCATTGAAGATCCATTCCATTCATGCATAAATTTTGAAGAAAACATGAATCGATTGATTTCCCAATAGGATAAATGACCTCAAGGTTTTATTATTTGAATTATTTTTGTGAAAACCGAATTGCTTTCAAATAAATTGTATAAATGAAAATATGAATCATTTTCTCTTCTAATAGAAGTTTATCCCATCCTTTGTGTTTTATACATTTGCGTTTTTTTCAAGTAAAGAAAAAAACGCCCAAAATAAATTCCCAATTAGAGAAGTATGATATCCAATTATCTATTATAATCCAATAATTGATTTAGGTTCTAATTCATTGTGCTTATGTGTAACTTTCAGTCCCAATAAAAGTTTCATAGTTCATAAATACTAAAGCATTTCATTAACTATACTTCAAAAGAGAACTGTTTTCGTGCAACTAAGAAAAAAGAGTTGCACTTTAGATCATTGAGCCTAATGCGTTAATTGATGAAACTTATTATTTAATAGATAATTACCGTTTTTCTAAACGTTTCACCAACACTGTATTTCAATGATAATTACTATTTCTGGAAAATAAAACAGGGAACTAAGGTTGTATAGCTTGCCATTCAAATTCATTCATATCAAGACTCAAAACTGTCTAAAATCTATCTATGATTATTTAAAAAAAAACTATTATGTGAGTAATCTGAACAACTTAGTGTTTTCAAAAACAAAAAAAAACCATTATGTCATTGAAAGCAATCTATGGATTCTAAATTAATACAAATTAAAAAGCATGTACAACAGAGGCTCTAGCTAACTACACGTTCAAGCATAACCTTCGTATGCATAAACAGAATGTCTGATTCTTCGTTCCACTGTCGTTTTAACCTTTCTATCTTTCATAATCTATCTTTTTTACACTTTTTTCTAATTCGACATAATTATTAACTAGTCATTATTTCATTTAGTTATTCTGTCCTTAATATAATCAAATGGATAGTTATTTTTATATTAAGATTATTCATTAACCGTTGAATCATTGCGTAACTTCCTTTTAGTATTTGATTTTTGATATAAGACCACTTGAATTTTTCCCATGACTGTCTAACACTATTCTATTTTACTATAGACACAATATTTATGAAACAAATTGACTACGAATATGACTATTCAGGTTAAATAAATGAAACTATCGAAATAAGAAAATTTTTGTCACCATATCCTTTTCATTTCCTATTTAACTGAGCTTTTTTATTAAAAGCATTCATTGAGTTTAATTCAGCAATACTATTTGTAGTTTACATCTTGTTACAAGCATGTATTATTCATATTTTGTTCGAAATAATAAAAACATTCTTTGCACATAATTGTTTATTTAAAACAATTCTTTAAAGCCAACTACTAAAGTATCGAAAATGAGAATGTCAAGTATCTTACAACGATTTTCTGCAAATTGGTTCTTTTAAGAAGTGTATTCAATCATTTAGTCGTTTTTACATGTCTCAAAAATAAACACTTAATCACTAAATACAAACGAATTTGACTCATTCTGATAAAAAATTAAGACTTCAAAATCTATAATTTTCGTAACTTATTTAATTCAATACATACCTTCTGTAAGTTATTTTTACTTTGACAAAGTTACTAAGGAATTGTTGATTATGGTCACAGTTTTTATTTTCTACTTTTTCTGCTAGGTGTTCTATCTAAAGGTTATGTTGTTGATAGAAGTGAATGTTATCTTATTGGATCTCAATCACCTCAAGTTCATCAAGTAAGCAATGAATATGCTTTATTAATCTATCGACAATTTTGAAGTCATCTATTTTCAATGATCATCAAGATTAGTTAAACAAACTACTTAAACTTTATGAGAATGGATCATTATGAAGTTACATTGACAACTTGATAATTAATATGATCTGTTAAATTATCTCCAATATTTTAAGTAGGTAGTTGAAATATAGCAAGTTGCTTACTATTGATTTAAATATTATGATAAATTCTATTGCATAGAATATCATTTAAACATTATTATCCTTGAAATAAATGATATAGGAAGCAAGTATTTTTCAAAAAAACATCGTTTTTAAGATTACAAAATTTAACTTAGTAATTGTACAATTTAAGTTAAACATATCTTACTGATCATTACTTTTGATCCTAATGGAATATACAAATCATTAAAGAAAAAGTATAGGTTTAAGCATCATGTCTATCTTATGAAATTTATTAGTTAACTTTCCATAATGAACCAATCACAAATATCCTTCAAAGATTACTATAAACGATAAAGTTCAATATTAATTCAAGTCAAGTTGGTCCCGTTAATTATAGAGATTTCATTTAATATATCAACTATTGAAACCTTATTCATAAAAAAACATCTCAAGAATAATTTAAAAATATTATTTTAAGGAAAGCAATTATTCTAATTACATTCATTGAAAATGCTTTAATATTCTAACAATAATCAGATAACTAAAAATAGTTAACATACTTTATTTTTTTTTCATGAAAAACTATTATCATCACCATTATCTTGAAGAAGTGACTTACATTCAGTTACAAAACGTCAGGAAAACAATTTTCCACTCATTGGGTTATCACAATTGCTATATTTATTATTATCATTAAGTTTATGAAAGAGATATTAATTAGCATTAACAAGTAATCAATAAGTAACCAAATAGAATTACAAAGAATATATTCTATTTGATCTTCACGTTGTTGTTTAATGTGATTCATTCACTTCACTTAAAAATAATGTTGATAGTGGATATAATTGAAAATGATAAAGTTAAAATAAATTCGTGCTATAATCCATATACATTGTTGCATAGTACCCATTGAATACTAAAGAAAATAAATAGAATACATGTATCTGAACATTACTTTTTTTCAAAATGTTACATGTTTTAATCACCGTCTATTTTTATTTGTTTCCTTTTTTCACGTTTACTTTTATTTTGCAGACATTCTATCCAGTGCAAAATCAATCACTTGAAATACACAAACAAAATATAATTGTACGTTTAATAATCTTTTGTGTTTTTCTACATACTGATTTTTCTTTAAAAACATTCAACATCTACTTTTTTTTAGGCAGCAAGGTGTATAATGCAAAATAATGAGAGTAGAATAATTCGAATAGGGTAGGTTTTAAATTTGATAATTTTTCTATAAATGTTAATTCATATCAAATATCCAGATAATAAATTCCTGTTTAGTGAAGCCAGTGACAAAATATGGGGTCTTATAACTGTCCTTAATATTAGTTCAAGGATATTTGTGCTATTATTCTCCATCTCATTTTTATCAAGAATTACATCACCTTGCAGTATAAGGCATCTGATAATATTGTTTGAATGTTTTATCCTACTTTCCAATTATTCAGCAGTATAAACGCACTCGAACCCAAGGCCATTGTGTTTCTTATTGAATGAAATACTATTTATGCATTGGGTCAAAATGCACTTGTAATGTACTGCTTCAAATTTAAAGTAGTTCTAATTCAAGTCATTGGAATCGATTGGAATTGTGCGACGTTGTCTATTCGCGGGTTAATTCACTAACTAATCGAAAAAAACGCTTTGATTTTGGTGAATAAGCGCATAATGTTTTCTAAATCCCATGATAGAAAATATCATGTATGACAAAATTACCGTTGAAATTTTTCACCAAGGCAATTTGACAGCACTTCAAACTTCTATGCTCTATTCAGGCAGTTGACTAATACTTTGGAACATTCAGAGCCTACTATGCAAATGCCTTTTTTAAATATGACATAATATACATAGTATATATGGTTATGCAAAAATGAATTATCAGATTATTATCTAATCGAACAAGTTAACATATACAAGAATCCATTTTATTTGAATGTGTACAAATAGCAAATATGAAGATAAGTTGACTAATATCTGAAAAAAAGCCTGGATTTGTAGATAATTATTGTCGTTGGTTCCTCAGTTGCTTTTTATTTTATGATAAAAACTACTTTAAAATTGACGTGTTCTTTGTGAAGCATTTAACTACAAATATTTTCTTGCTTATAAATGTTAGATCTATGGACTTGATTGTAGAAGAAGTGTTATAATCTATCACTATCAATTAATTAAAATTAGTGGAGTATACCACTGAATTACAAACATATAATGGGTAACGCGATGTCGTTTTAAGCGAATGGTACTGAGTTCGATTTCCGAAGTGAACATTAACTCAGGGATGCAGGTGAATCCAACTGAAGAGTCCTAAATAGGGCGAAAGGCAAATCCTATATTCCACTGCTAACCATCTTTACTTATAGTCTAAAGCTGTTGTACTCTCACTGAATTTTTAAAGTTTTGGATCCACTTCTGTGTAAGATTACCTAAGTGTACTGCTAATAAGCTCCAAAAAAGGATGAAAAAGTTGCGGAATTCCCTGAGATGTTCAGAATGATGTCGACTCGAAAAAATGATTGGTTTAGTGTATTTACATATTTTAAATAAACTGTTTTTGAAATGTTTTTTTAAACCATTTTGTACTTTTCAATTCAGTACCAATCTTACTATGGTGTCAAAAACAGAATAATTCCTAATGCCTAAAATAGGAATTTATTTCCATTTTATGTGGATATTTTCACTTCTATGAGTTTAATTGTAATGCAACTTTTTGAAAAATATGTAAATTAATTGCAGTATTCATTTCTATATATTATTTATATAGAAATACACGAAATGATGAAATGTGCAATTTTTACATTATGTATTGGGTTACAAATGACAATGAACAACAGTTATATGATACAAATAATCAAGTTTGTTATATGGATGGTGGATCGGATATTTATGAGAATTTTCAAGAACTTTGTAAGTCCGTATTATTGTTTGGTTCTATTTGTAATAATGTAACATTTTTTGGAATGAAAGATTAAAAATTGTAACTAATACATTACTCGGTTAGATCCTATAAATTATTTTAAACTAGAAATCATATTGAGATCTATAAACTGGTCTTCGTGATAAATTGTTTTATATAAAGTGAACTTTGATTAAATACTTGTTCAAGCTTTCTTATATTCTAAAAATTAGATATGATATTTAAGTATTTGCACTAAAAATAAGTTTATTAATTTTGTTGCAGTGATTGTTTTATATAACTAAGGATATACTTAAACATGTTTCATACATCATCTAATACGGATTATTCGTTACGAATGAATATTAAACATTAAACGATTAGTGTAAAAGAAGTCAGTCCCAATTTACAATTCTTGGCACAAATAAAATATTTTACTATTTACAAAGAAATGAAGTATTCGCTAATATGTCGATCAGTAATATTATATATAAGCATCAATACCGAGGTTGGATTTGATAGTTTCAAATAAATTGAGTATTGGGAAGAAAGTCAATAATAAATATATTTTTTGTTATATCCCAATTAGTAGAAAAATTGTATTTTTGACGTTTCGTGAATTATTGTAAGCCATTACTTCAGAGTAAGTAAATAAAAGAATTAAATTAACACAAGTTTAAATACCAATAGTTGACATCATGAGTCAATTGAAGTTAGACCAGCACAGAAAACCTGGAAGCACTGGACGGCCGTTTCGTTTTATTATGGGACTCCTCAGCAGTGTGCATCCACGACCCCGCCTCGCAAGATTCGAGCCCAGGACCTATAGTTCTCGAGCGTTAACGTTTAACCACTAGACCACTGAGCTGGCACCCAGCGGTGTTAATGTCTAATTTCAATTAATCCACGAAATTTAGCGACACATCCACCATTGTCATCAGTAAGTTACTATCTCACAACAGACCCGGTTGAACTCCGCTGGTCACTGCGCACTGCTGAGGAGGCCCACAATAAAACGAAACGACCGTCTAGTGTTTCCAGGTTTCCCATGGTGGTCAGCTTCAATTGACTCATGATCTCAACTATTGAAATTACTACAACCTCCACAAAACCCTTTTTGTGATACAACTTTAAATAGTTTAAATCGTACTATTTAAACTTGTGTTAGTTTATTGCTTTTATCTACTTACTCTGAAGAAGTGAGTTACACCAAGTAACGAAACGTGAAAAATACAATTTTTCTACTCATTAGAATATAACAAAAAATATATTTATTATTAATATTGTATATATATGTATATATCATTTTACCATATTTTGTTATCGAATGTAGTAAAGAATGATGAAATCGAAGCTTCTACAGTACAAAGTATAAATTCGCAGCAGAAATATTACATTCTACAGACATAACTATCATTTGTTTTTATATACCGAAACACTTTTAAACCACTAGTACACGAGTTTTTATTTAGTGTTAAGCTATAAGTGAATTAGTTTTCATCTAAACTTTTTTAAAAATTTTATTCAAATAAATATCGTAATCTTTTTATAATAAATTTTTTTGTTTTTATTTGTAGATGAAAAATTACGTGGTGACACATTCTTTCCAGATTTTGAATTTTTCAATTCAGATTTAAATGACTTGTTTGATAATTATGAAAACGCAAATATAGATCAACAAATTGAACCATGAATAAATATTTATTGTCGTCTTTTACAATAATACACGTAATTAACGTCATATAAATTTGTGTGTGTGTGTCAACTGTGATTTGTTATACGATTTCTTGTTTGTTTATTTGTTTGTTTTTATTTTTAACTTTATTTTTTTTCGTGGACAATAATCTGTGATTGTTTTTGTCTGTTTTAACATTTGAGTTAATGTTGTTGTTTTTATTTTTTTCAAGTTATTCTATCATTATGTTTCTGTCGTATTCATCTTTTTTTTCTCAAAAAAAGCAAACAAAAATAAAAAGACAAAACAAGAACAGATTTATTTCAACATACGATTGTATTAGAGTGAAATATATTTATTTGGTTAATTTTTATTGACAGTTTATCAAAATAAAAATATATATATTAAGATAGATAAGTATTTATGATTTATTTCATTTAGATGTTCATTTATTAAATAATGACAATGTGGAGATAGATCGGATTAAAAATATAACTTTATAGTAGATATTAACTGATCGCTATAGTTTAAGTCAATAACATTTAGTGAGTTAGTCAACTAATCGATCAACTAGTGATATGTCTTATTTAGTGAATCATAAATCAATTCTGATCTCTTTTGTTTTTAGTGTAATAAAATTATATTGCCAAATTAACTTGGCCAAATAGAATGTTTTTGTTTTTATTGATTAAATAAATTCGTTTCCAGGTGTTTTGTTTGACTTATACAAAGTGGTATGTGTTAACATGAATTGGAGTTTCAGTGATAAACTGATTTAAGACTAGTTAATGAGATTGTGACGGTGTATAAATCGTTACGAGTTATTCAGTTTTTCACATTCAGTATACCATGTTTCTACAATACACAGATAATTCTTTTCTGACTAATAGAAATTCTTAAAGATTGATGAACTCACTTTGATCCTAATGTCATTTGATTGTTTTTTTAAAAATCTTTTTTAGACAAAACATAATAAACTCCGTATCGATTAAGAACTAAAAAAATAAGAGCATTGGGCTTAGTGAATGCGAGAAAAAAAGAAATATAAGCGAAATTAATATTGCACGTTGAGGATTACAGTTAATACGGAAATGTTTAATTTTCGTCTCAAAAATGAGATGAACATAGTAGAAAAAAATGAAGTATTAAAAACAAGATTACCATGCTTACTTGATGGTATTCTATGAAGTTATTTTCGAGTTGTCCAATAAAATTTAGGATTAATGGAAAACAAAATACCCAGCGTTGTACAAATAATAAGTAACGGTCACATATATTGATGCACTTATAAGCGTTTCTTAAACTCCTTTGCATTGGTTTTAGATAAGAGTAGTATTATCTACAGAAAATCTATTGAATTGTACAACTATTAGGCAGGAAATACTTGAATGACTTGAAAAAAGAAGGAACAGTATGCTAATAGACAAAAAATGAAAAAAATCAGATGTTTACTCAAATCGTTGAGTACAACACAATCGGCCCCTCGAAAAATATATTAGCTGTAACAATAACCGTCAGAGGCCTATAACAGATTAAAACTTCATATGTTCCATATCCATCTTGGTTATATAATACTAGCTTACTGGATAATACAGATTTAAATAAAAACACATAAGAATAGGTCATTTGAATTCTTCAGCTAGATTTTACACATATTTTAAAACATATGTTTATCAAATGACTTATTAGAGTACTTTAGCTTATTATTATTACTACTGTTATTAGGACTTGTATTTTCTTTGAATATTCTGTTTAAGATAACTGATGAGATACAAAAAAATTAATTACCAAACACAGTTTTTACATATTTATAATGTTAATAATTCAAAAGAATGACACCGCTACCCTCAAAAACATTATTCTGCATACTTCACTCACTGTAAACAAAATTCTTACTTTTAATAAGATGAATTTCTTTTTAGACAATGAATATAAGAAATAAATGAGAACAACTGCACTTCTATTTTCTTTAGTAATTAGTACTTAACATAGAGATGCATTTATAACCTGCACAAAATGGCTTACATTTCATAAAATAATAAAAGTAAAGTTTTTCAGAAATAACTGATTTCTTAAAGATTTAGGTATTTAACTGAAATAACAAATAGAACAGTTTAATAAGCGGTTTAAGAGAGTATCAATAACTCATAGAATTCCAGAAACCAATTGGTAATGTAATTACAGCGTAAATTTTGAATTCCATAGTAAAAATTATGTGAATCGTATTAAAAATAATCCAGTTAAATAAAATATATAAGAAAATTATGTAATTCATTCTTGTTCTAAGAATTCAACTTTATGAATGTCACTTGTTACAATTCACTAATCAAATAGTTACTGAGTTAATTCTCTTATCGTATATATATATATATATATATATATATATATATATATATATAGCTCATTAAACAATGAAATTTCAAATAACAAAAAGAAAATTGTTTTATTAAACAGGATTACAATATCATCCAATAAGAAATACATTGTAAATTATGTATTCAGAAACATACTACTTATAATAATTACAAAGTATATATTTCACTAATATTATAACAAATAATAATAACCACATATACAATCAATAATAATAATAAAACAGTATGTGGATTATTTGTCTACATGATTTTAATGTATAAAAAGAAAACAATGTGGATAATCTAATTTTAAAGAATCTGCTTCTAATTAAGTGAAATGAAATGAACATCATACTTTATCATTCATTGTTAATAATTAAAACAAATAATCAGTTTATACTAAAACTATTAATTTTCTTAATTGACTTAATTCCATATGTAATGTTTCTTCAGATATACGTAATTTATTTTCTAATACAGATTTTGCACTAGTTAATGTATCATGCATTGTATGAAAACCTTCACGCATTTCTTCACGAACTGTTTCAATAGTTTGACGATGATGTTCATATAAATCATCAGAAAGTTTATTCATTCGAGTTTCTATTTCCTATAATTGTATAAAACAAAATTTTATTTTAGAAAAAATGATTGTTAACAAATACTATTTGCAAAATTATCATAAAATTCTCATTGGTTAAAATAATTGGGCAATTTTAAACTTGGCACTTCTTTGTAGAATAAATTGTAAAGAGTCTTTGTAAAATAGGAACATTTATATTCAACTATACGTCATTATAAGCTGTTGATAGTTACAATATCTACTAGTTGTTACAAATTTTTATAAATTACGATGTAATAAACATGAACACATTCTGTTATCATGAAAATCAAATAAACTCTGCTTCTAATCTTTTATACTTTAATGGATTTATTATAACATAAATAAATGACCTTCCCCCATAGAAAGAATTTCAAACTATCTATTTAAACATATTTTTTATAGTTATATAAGAGTAAGAGAAACAGAAGTTTTAAAAACATAATGTATCATATGAATTGAATCTACCTGTCAAATAAACAAGGGTTGTTAAACAATTAATAAGGTGAAAACAAAAGCTGAACTGAAAGAAAACAAATTCGTAATAGACAAGTATCATCTATATTTTGTAAACATTTAAAATGAACTTAAATCACAACGATTTTTAGTTAGTGACAGTTTTATAAAATATTTTATCTACTAGGTGTCTAACAAACACCAGTTTTATATATTCATTTATAAATTTATAAATTGGTTCATCAAAACGAAAGACAATCAATACTTTGGCAAAAGAATATTTTAATTATATTAACATGAATAGGAAGTTTTTCGTCTCCATAACACAATATAAAGTCACTGAAACCTATTGGCAATCACTAGCGTTTGAGGTTTATCTGTAAACAGATTGCACACATACAATGTAGAGCTCATTTAATTGTGTTCGTTTTTCTGAGTAACTTGGCATCATTTATGTGATATGGCAACTCGAACTGATGTACGTACGGAGTTCTACGTTGTTATTGACTGACTGACTGCATCATTTATTAACAATTTATTCTTCCTATTTCATTTCAACAAACGATTCTGCATTGAATTAACTGTTAGTATTTTGTGATACAGTTATTTAACATAAGGACTATTCTTATAATTAAATATTACTTATTTAACAGATAAGAATTGTTGTATTTAGCTTCATATCACAATCTGATTGTGCGAGCTAGTAATAATATCCATTTGCCAAAATGACAGTGGATTTCAAACCTAAAACTTAATGATTGAAAGTTAAACACCTTAACCACTGAGTCACTATTCTGATTTTTGTGACCAACTCTATTTGTTGTTTATAAAAAAACAACAACTAAATGCTGATAGAAGATACAAAAAGTAACTTCTTATCTAAGAAGATATTTGACTAATGTTTACCAACTAACTTATGACTGTTTACCAATTCTGTAAAAATGATCGGTCAAATAAATTAACAATCCTAATAAAACTTTATTTCGATCTTATGAAAACTTTATTCTAAGCATAAAATGAAGTATAAAATCAATGTGATAATTACTGTTATTTGTTTATTTATTTCTTTGAACACATAAATATTGGTACAAGGGGGCACCAAATACATATGCGCTACACAAATCTCATTTGATTTGTGCAAGGGCTGCGATACTGTACGGGTGCGCAAACCGAATTAGGTGGTTTTCTTAGGAGGCCGCACCCGGAGCCTTCGACGTACAGGTCTGATCCACAAGGCAGTGGAGCAACGTAAGGAGATGCAGTCCCATGGTAGCCAGTGACCAACCATTGGTTCATACACCATTTGTTCCCTTAGGGTACTGAGGCTTATGTGCATCATTGGTTTGGAATCAGGGTTTTCCAACTCCCCTAGGTGGATTCTCTGTGTTCACCAACCCGGTCAAAGCGCCGGACATTCGCTTTTCGTCCTTTCATTTTCGTAAACAACACCCCCGCCATGAGAAGGCAGTGAGTTGGACTTCCCTGGCAGAAGCTATTTACGCGTGGCCGTGTGAGAGCATTTCGAGAGGGAGAGCAAACTTTCCCCACTCTCGGCCGTACCAGGGCATCCAACAAACAAATTTGTCACACAAATAATCAACAAGGCAATTTTATGTTATACTTTAAATGTTCTTAAAACTTGTTGTTTAAAATTTGATGAATTCGCTTCGATATTTTCAACTCGATCGTATAATTCTTCGTCAATTTTCAATTCATTTGTTTTCTCTTCAACAAATGCCTAAATGAAAGAAGAAATACATAAACATTAGATTGCATTTCATTAAAACAAATGATAAGTTAATGATGAATAATTTATGAAATATAAAGTAAGTGACAGTATAACCGACGATCATTTAAACTTACAATGGAATTTTACTTGTACAGTTTAGTTCTTTTATAGTGGAAGATCTATTTATTGTAATAAGTCATCTTTATAAGAAAATCGACATTATTTATAAAACAACAGAAAATACAAAAAGTATTAAATAAACTTTTTCACTTTAGTTTGAGACTATTTAGCATTTCATATTAACCATCATATAACAGAAATAAGTTTTATTACGAACTATACAATAGTAAAACTAACTAATCAAAGTATGAGACTAATTATATGCTACAGTATTATCGACTGTTCACAAACATCCTTGATACAATGCAAGATTGTAAACAAAAAAGTTATGTTTTTGATCATTTTTGAGCGCACATTGCTGATAATTCATTATCTATAAACATCAGCAATTTAAAGTTTCTTAGTTTTCACTTATTTTTTAGATTATATTAATCAGTCATAAAAATTATTCCTACAAACATTTTTGCATATATTTGAAAAAATTTGCCATCAATATCAAGGTACCATTTATATCAATCAATAAATCGAAGATTAAGTAGGTTCAATCGAAAGCTTTGAATAGTCTAAGATGTAATCAAATTGTGATGAGTGATGTAATGTATGTAGGTGTACGTTGAACTCATTTAATTTGATTCATTGAAATGTTTAACAAATATAACCACATGAAAAAGACTCACATTCACATATTAAAAATGATATTCAACATCCTAATTTGACTGAACAATCACTTAATACATCGTTGTTGCATGATATTTTTGACTATTTCTCTTAAGAAGCTCGAACTAGACAAGAAAGTAGAACTTTAGTGTTTTCAATCTTAATTATGTTATTTTTTACACATATAGTTTCCTTCTAAATGTCTTTTATATAGTCAGTGTCTAACTAGTAAAAGATTATTGGTTTAAAATTGGACGAAAGTTGTTACAAAATTTGGAGAATAATCAATACATGTTAGCCCATAATTAACGAGCGATTTGTACAAAAACTATCTATTGTAGTGGATGGTGAAAATAAAATTAATTGAACGTCATGTTTTCTATCTGTTCAACTCATTTCCGGATACCAAACTGAGAGTATATGTTTAGTTAATATAATGAAGAAAATTTGTAACTTAGGTAAATGCTACTAGTTGTAATATATTTTATGAACAGGTTGCTCTGATTACAGCACTTCCACAGTTATTCTGAGAAACACTATTAAGGTTTAATCCAAGTAGAATCAAGCCTATAGAACACAACTGTTATAACTTGTAGCCTGAGTGTCCTGTTAATGGATAAGTAATGATACCGCAGTGAATTATCGATCGGATCAATGACGCGTAAACCCGTATGAGCAGTTTAGAGTCCTAATTGGTCCTGATTTCCGCCTATCCCAGCCAGTTGAATCCAGAACACCAATCTCAGCCTCTGCAATATGAGTCATGTATTTCAGACATACTCGGGTTATATGCCAATCAAACAGACTACAACGTACCATAAAATAGAAAATAACATTTGTACAAGATTTGGCCAAAAGTGCCTGTGAATGAGGGAGGCAGTAACAAATAGACAGGGCATAATTCAAGAATGGTAAAGCTTATAATAATGGTTGATATTACAAACCAGTACATAACGACACCAACCCCAATTTCGAAGGTGTTAACTAAAGATCATCAACTAGCATTAAAAAAACTTGTGAAAGACGAAACAATACTGCTACTTCACCCAGACAAGGGTTCCGGGGTAGTCGTTCTTAACAGAGATGAATATATTAACAAATTAATGTCTACTTTAAACGATTCCACTAGATTTATTATCGATAATACCCAGAAAGACTTAACAGAAACGACCGAGAAACGTCTCCTAAAAAAATTGAGAGAACTTCTAAAGAAAAATCTAATAGATAATCATACATACAATGAACCTAAATCTAAAGGATCACAATTACCATACTTATATGGCCTACCCAAAACTCATAAGCCCGAAATCCAGATAAGACCAATATTATGCATGACCAACTCACCCTTCCACAAACTCGCTCGCTGGCTGACAAAATGCCTAGAACCAATCCGAAAGAAAGCAGCACCCTACAGTCTAAAAGACAGTTTTGAATTCGCACAAAAACTCGACAACCTAAATGTTTCTGATAAATTTATGGTTTCATTTGACGTCTCATCACTCTTCACAAACATCCCCTTGGAAGAAACGGTTGAAATCATATGTAAATATCCTGAACTTCTACCTCTACCAGCCCAGGATTTTAAACAGCTCCTTTTTTTATGTACCAAAAACATACAATTTCAATTTAATAATGTCTTTTACCGCCAAATTGATGGAGTTGCTATGGGTAGCCCGTTGGGCCCAATTCTTGCTGATATATTTATGGGATACCTGGAACTAAATAAGCTTAAGCACGCAATTGACGATACTACATTCTACTGTAGATACATCGATGACACATTTCTCGTCTGTAACAATCATAAGCACGCCATTAAACTACTTGATCTGTTCAATAAAGCACATAACAATATAGAATTTGCTATGGAAAAGGAAGTTGAAGGTAAATTCCATTTCCTTGATATTGGGATCAGACGAACATCTGATGGCACATTAAACAGACACATTCATCATAAAAATACTTGGTGTGAACTATATCTCAATTACTACAGTTTTTGTCCAATGAGTTACAAAAAGGGTTTGATACGAACCCTTTTTGACCGCGCTCGCAAAATTTGTTCAAAGGAATGCCTGGATGATGAAATTACTCTCATCACTAATGTTCTACGAGAAAATGCATACCCTTTGAAATTTATTCACAAACATGCAAAAACCAACCCTCAAACAAAGTACGATAGAGTTGAAAAGAAACCTTGCTTCTTATATCTACGTTTCAAAGGAGATGAAATTGCTGGCCTAATTAATCACAGACTAAATTCAGCTTTGATAGTTGCCTACCCAGCAGCAAAACTAACAACAGTATGGAAAACGAATTGCTCACTTAAACAAACTATAATCGACAAGTCCTCTTTTCTTAGTTGCTCCAACTGCATTTACCAATTCACATGTACGTGCCAAAGCACATACATTGGAAGAACTGAGAGAAGAGTTCATGTTCGCATTTCGGAGCATATTCCAAAGAACTTGAGGCTGCTAGGGACTAAAGCTCTTAACAGTGCAATAGATCTCCATTTACTTGACACCGGGCATACCATCGATATTTCGCACGCTTTTAAAATTATCAACAGACAAAGAATTACTACTACTCTCCGCTTTGCGGAAGCGATTGCAATAAAAAAAAACTTAAACCGGATTTATGCATTCAAAAAGAGACACTAATTAACTTATTATTACCCTGGTAATCCATTTGTGTGTGTGTGTTATTTGATTCACTTATTTATTTTAAAAAAAAATTATTTTGTGTTATCCTCCACACCCCCGTCATAACTTAATTCTTAAACCAATTTTTATCCACATATTTCCGCATCACTGATACTGTTAGATTATCTTAACTGTTCAAATTTTATTCTATCATTACGTAACCTATCTTATCACTGTTCTAATACCTCTAAAATAATTATCACACAATTTATAAACTCCATTCAACTATTACATCACCCATCTTTAATTGTCTCCTTAATTCTAACACCAATTAACCTCTGACCTGTTCTAGCATATATATATAGTTATTATTGTAAATCTTTGTCATTCTAATCATGTACATTCATTTATGCCAATTGTCTCAATGTAAAAAACATCACATATTTGGTTGTAAGCAGCTGACGAGAAACCTCGAAATATTATAAATTCATACTATTCTGCATCAATATTTGTTCTTGCTTTATTTAAATTCATAAAGGGAACTAACTGCATGAAAAACATTTTTAATTATCTTACCGTAAACTATTACTGAAACAAATAGTTTTGAGAATTAAGCTTTTATGTACAATTAGTTTTATTAGTTCCATTGATTTTTTTAAGACTTTTCTCAACCAAATGTACTTAAAACTGATTTAGATAACTAATAATTTATCTGTGTAATCTATATGCTTCCTATAAAGTTCATATTTCTTATATATAACTAAGTCCTTACAAACAGTTTAAATACATAATAGGAGATGAATATGACACACTGTATCTGTAAAAGTACAGACACTACTTCAAATAAACTTTTCTACCTGTGGATTAGATTTACTAAAATTTACCAAAAATTCAATTAGAGAAATTATTATCAATTAGTTTAATCAAAGAAGGGAGATAGCTGTTGATAACAATTTGGTAACGATACGACTAAATCAAAAGTTGATCTCTTGACTAATTGGCTTAATAGTATCATACTTTAATAATGTATAGGGTTATAAGTTTCCCAATTAAGGGAGTTTTAAACTTTGTTATTATTCGTTCTCAAATCATGACAATTAACTTGAAGATAATTATCTATTCGACTACTTATTTTATTTTCAAATGTCAAAAGTGCTAAATTAACAGATCATTTGATTTTTTTTAAATCACAGAAAAGGTACTATCATCATCTTAATCTATCAAGCCGAATACTATTATGACAGTAAACAAAGATATTTTTAATTGCATAAATAATCACATCTTTTTTTAAATATTAAAGTATACAATGATTTACGATAACGTACTGAGAAATCTGATCAAACGATTTAACGAATCAAAACAACTATGCTCCCTCATCCTCCGAAAAAAACACATTGAACTTACTAAATGAAGTTATCACTATTGATATTGTGGATTAATTTTAATTAAATGAGCTAAAATGGAACTGTTAACAATTTTAATTACACATTTGCTTAACCACACTGGAAAGTACTCACGAGCCGGAATATACAAATTCCTAGAACATTTGTCAATATAAATTGCTCCACAGGAGCAGTTGAATTGATAGATACA